GTTACAGACAAATAGACAAGGTACATAATTAACTATGCACTCTTCCTAGCAATTGTATATATTTTGAATAAGCTGACCTTGACAGAAAAAGAGTGCAATAGACTAATTAGTAAAATAAACAAGATTTTCAAACACTAAGCAGTGTTAGCTTCAACAACACCAAACTGTATTCTTTATGCTGACTTTGGATACAAACTTCAATCTATGGAAGTGATAGATCTTCATGTATGGAAAAAAACTTTACCGTAGGTTAAATAGCCACAAGTTAAAAGAAATGACCACACAAAATAATTGTAGCACTTGTAAAATAAATACTAGTTTACTAAACAATTCTAATAGATAGAATACCCTTCCAGACAAAAAAAAAAAAAGAAAAAACTTAATAAACAAGATCCTGAAATGCTGAAGTATAAAGGAATTATAATGGCCTTAGCTAAATATACATGTTTTAGAAAACCAATCAAGAATGAGGGAAGAACTATAAAAGAGATGGTTATAGAGAATTGGTACAACAAATATAGACACTTATTCAAATGTAGAGGGATACTCTTCTTTGATCAGCCACTCAATAACAATAAAACAAGATCCCTCTCCTGACAACATGTAAGAGCCAAACTAGGTAAACAATGTAGGATCCCTTTGATACAAAGAATTAAAAGAACTGGCAAACAGCTTGACAACCTACTAGATGAGGCCAGAAAAGAAGTGATATTACTAAAAGACAATAGAGTCAACAGTCCTATTATCAATAGTTACATATTCAATATACTGGTGACCCCATACCAGCAATAGTTAATTATCAAATGGCTAGCTATAAAGAAAGAAAAAACAATGTTAATAATAAAGAAAAAGAAAGTTCTCAATAATCAATCCATTATAATCAATCATTTGATTGGAGAGAATAAAAAATAATCATTATTTAAGTGCAAAGGCTGTCCCTTCAATAATCCTGAACTTAGGAGAAAGTACAAAGACTAACAACAATGTATAATAACGCAACTATTGATACACTCAGTAAATATTAAGGTAAAGAAGAGTACCAAAGGTTGCATCTTAATACTATTACAAGAAACAGATATAAGGCAACCCTTGATCAATTGACTTCAATCTTCCCTGCAAGATATAGAGCTTGCTCTTAAGGAAACCAATAGACAAGTTTCAAATGCAAATTTAAATTCAATATATCTGGACTTCCTCTTGATTATAAAAGACTTAATTCAGAAAAGACTGAAGACCTCTGAAAGAATATTATCAAGGTTACAACAAGTCATACAAGAAATTGCCAATCAGGATAACTTAAAATGTATATAGATGACCCTTTTACAAGATAATACATAAATAGTAGAATGGGAATTGGATGGATAATCCAAACTGAATTAGGAACAGAAATCAGCACCTTTTATATAAAAACCCAGGAATCTATCTTCTACTAGAGCGGAACTAAGTGATACTAATAGAAATAAATATAGTAAGTGCAGAAAAATGATAGAAATAATCACAGACAGTCAATGCATAATCAATACAATCAAGAAAGCTAGCAAAATGGACAAAATCAGGAATTGGAAAACAAAAAATCCAAACAGGAACTAGGTTAACACAATATTAAAAATATAGTTATATAGAAAATAGAGGTTAAGTAGACAAAGATAAAAGGACACTCAGGAAATAAAGAAAATGAAATAGCAGACAAGCTAGTAGCAACGACAATATTAGACAATTCCAAGGACATCATCAGAGTTCAGGAGTTACACTTAATAAGTAACATAACAGTAATTTGGGATCAATTCATTATGGACCTTCTCTTCAGAACAATAGGAAAGATTCTTCTCAAGACAAAATGTGCAAGTAAATAGAGAATCTGAGAAGAATGTAGGAGTGGCTCTCAGGACAGAAGTCCAAGAAAATAGACTGGAACCTAACTATAGGAATACTAACTCTATCCAAAATCATATTACATTAAACAGATTAGTAGGACCACAAAGACAGATTCTTTTATTGGAACACAAGGCTTAATAAATATTCCATACTAGCAAACATGAATATATAAAAACTACACCCGTACAAAAACCCAACATGTATCATTTGCAAAATACAAGAAGAAAGAAACCTTTATCTATTCATTTGTAATCAAACAAAACAAGATTGAGGGAGAGATATATATCCTTTCTCACTGAAGAATGCATAGCTAATTCTAATGGCAATAAACAAGGGGAACTATACAAGACAGTTAGAAAAGGCCCCTCAGCCCATCAGCATTAAAAAAATTAGGAAGATCAATCAAAAAAGGATGGTTGTATATTATCAAGACCCCATCATATATGAGATGAGACAGGTAGCAAAAGAAATTACAAGGGATGCAAAAGTAGCAAAAATAGCATTGAAAACTGCAACAGCTCTTTCTAACAATTGAAGAGAGAAATCTGGAAACTGAGGTGTGACCTGGTTATAGAATGGAAAAGAAACCAAGGAATTTTATCAAAAAAAAATGTGAATACTCAAGAGGGAGAAAAAGACCCGCGAGTATGAAAGGACAACAGGGCAAAACTATACAAAGCACTAATGAATATCTTTATATAGAAGTAACCAACCACTGCATGAGCAGTATATAGATATTCACATACTTTACTTTTCTCTTTAAATTTCAGTGTTAGTGAAGTCATGACATGCCAACATCTACCTCAAGATCGACTGCAGCAAGTCATAGGGTTTGTCAAGATACTGAGCCAATAATTTTTTTCCCATCATAAATGTAGTTTTTCTTGCAATTCAATTTGTGTATAAAAGAAGACCCTAATAATTAAATAAAAACTAGATAGCATAACTTTGCCAGCTTAAAAAAAAAAATTTTTTTTATGTAATAAGATCAATTAATGAATAAATAAAGGGTAAATGGCATGAATACATCAGCATTTAAAAAAAATAGAGTTCAAAATAATTCCAAAAATTTAAAAGTTCTATTATAATTAATAATTAAAATAAATGGGAATACAGTTAACAATAATAATAGAAATGAAAGATAAAAGTATATAAACATATATCTGGATTAATAGAATTTCCTTAAATATAGTATAAATATATTAAGTTTCTGTATAAAATTAATAGAAAATAATTTATTATAAAAGTTATTTACCTGAAATGCTATGAAAAAATAATTGAAATAAAGGTAAAAAATCGAATATTAAAGATACAATAGAAGATCTGTAACTAACTCTATAAACAAACCTGAAATACAAGAAGTAAAAAGATTATAAAATAAAAATAATATCAAAAAAGTGATAAAAACAAGAAGTTTAAAAGATTATCAAGACAGTAAAATATAAAGTATATAACTAGGACAAAAGAAATCAAAATTAAGAAAAAGAAAAAATAGAAAACAAAGATCACATAAAGATTCTAATAAATGGAATGAATTTGAAACAAAGTGACTAGGTTTTGATTCCTGTAAAATTTCAAATGGTGATTTGATAATAGAAGTTGAAAAAGTTTACTTGATAGTGATAAATTGTTTCTGACGTTGTATTTGGAGTTTATAGAGACAGAAATCTAAAATTAAGACGTAATAGTTATAGATATTTCTTAAATGACATGTATTTAATGTATAGTATACAAAAGTTTACCAAAGCACACATAATTCACTTGATAGAGAATAAAAAAAAAACTTTAAATGAAATAAGTTTTTAAAAAATTATAAAGGATTTTTTTTGAATAAATAAACAATATATTTCTTTATATTGCTAGAGCATAAAAATATTTTAATTATAATATTTTTTTCATAAATATCATTATAAATATTTTAATGAATTTTAACTGATATTTTTTTTACTTGTATATTTTTAGAATTTTCATTTTACAGATAATATTATTAATTCAGTGATTAATGGAGATGAAATAATTGACATGATACTTTATTTACCAAATAAAATAATGATGCTAACATTCGGTATATGCCACTATTTAATAGTCATTACAAATAAAGTAAGGGTGAAGCCAGTAAGGTAAAAATACAATAAAAGGAAAAAGGAAAATTTTTAAAAAATAAAACCAACAAATTTTGTATTCAAGCATGACCATTATATATAATTAATTTCAATATTAAAACCTGATACGTAGTACAATTTCTCAAAATTTTACGAACAATAAATTGATAAAAAATGATAAAGCCAATTTATCCAATTTTTTCATCCCAGATTAATATAATCTTTTTAGTCATAACAACATAAATCTGTATCTGGACAACATCTGCCACCTGCTCTACAACAATAGTAATAACCTCCTTCTTTATCACTGCAACAAACGCTTGTGTCAATTGGGCAGCATCCACCTCCGTCAGCGCTAGAACAGCAACCAAAGTCAACTGGACAGCAATTACTGGTACCAGGACAGCAATGCCAGCCAGCTTCACAGCAATTAGGATAACCGCAACAAGTTTTAGTTTTTTCGCAGCAAAAAGATCCACAGTCATTATTGTTTGGTGGACAGTCTTGTATCGCTTCACCAAAAGGAACAACGATAGCAGAGGAGTTGAAACCATAAATTTGATAAATTCGCGGAGATGGTACATTTAGAGAGCTCACTGCCAAATAAAAACTGCAAAAAGTAGCGATTGCAAGGATAAATAATATTATATTTTTCGACATGACTATTTCTCGGTATAATTTAATAGGAGAAATAACAGTCTTGAAGTAACATACGTTTTTTTCGAATAAAAAATTACTTGGTATTTATATGATTTTACGCATGACTTTTTGCAATAAAAGAGAACCAACGACGTATGTAGATATTCTATGTCTACAGTGATGCCGGTAATCAAATGAATGATCCAATTTAGCATTAGAATCAGCAACAAATGGTATCTTTATAAAGTGGTGGTTAAAAAAAAAAAAAAAAGGAGGAAATACATATAGAGCAATAGATCTTATTACTGTCATGCTCCGGATTATTAAACAATAAAGCAGTGATTTTAATCGGTGATAAATAGATTTATCTAGATTCACATCGTGTCATCTCCCATTCTCCTTTCCATTCTTAAATAATATCAAGGTTGGGAGATCCAAACTTGTTGTTGACAAAGAGATGTCGTAATCTTCCGCTAGCTTCGGTGACGTTTCTAGATCGATCTTTCCGAAATGTATGTTACTTGATTTATGGGCAACATTTTTTTCCATTTTTTTAGCCTCAGACATTAAACTATACTGTACCTAAAAGTTTTACTCGTTTCTTTTTTCTTATTTGTAAACTAAAATTCTCATGAATTTCAATTAAAATTTTAACAATTTCTATTTTACATTAAAGATTTTTATATAAAATCATATATTATGATAGTAAAGAAGTATGAATTAAACAGTATATTATATCCGTTATGCATTCTCGGATAATTATGTATTTATTCCACTCTTATTAATAATAATTACCTTAAATTATAAGGCACCAAACTTAAATTTTTTCACTTCATTTTGGAACCCATAGAAGGTTTAATTGTAATAAGACTTGTCGATCTTCTGGTTTAATTTGCTAAAAACTTCTTATTAATGTACGCATAGGCTTAAGTAGAATCCGTCAATCGGTCGTTTACTATTATTTCTTTTAAGGCAATTTTTATAGCATCGAAGCTGTCCAACTACGTATTTGTATATTTGCTCTCATTTAAACATTTTTATTACGAGATTCATTCCTTTGATAAGATCCTCTTTAAGACTCTTTTAGTCCGACGCAATTTCGTACTATCTTCCGTCAAAGCTCTGGTAATAAAATCTGGCTAGTGTCTAAGCGAAAAATGCTTTAATACATTGTAACAGATGTTATTCAAACTAAATATAGAAAGGTATGAACCAATTTATGTAATCAACGGTTTGTGCGCATACGTATATAAAGTACGTACGAATGTGTGCGTAATTTTATTTATCAATTTTAGAATTCAATATTAAGCACGTTTCTCTTTATTAAATAAACATGAGTTTGCTTATATAATTATCTGAGAATCCTTCATATTCATTTTCGTGTCTACCATTTCCCTCAGACTTTAGTCTTCTTGACCAATGTACTGGGATCTTTTTCATTCTGATAATCCTTCCATCGTACATTGTTATATTTAGCCTATATAGAGTATTTCGGA